GTGGACTTCCTGTGCGCGCATTCCTCCCTACAGACTATGGCTTTTGGGAGAAAGAACATGCAATGCACACTGTTGCATGTATTCTGAAGGCGTTCTGAACTCCCCCATCGCCATCACATCTGTTAGGCGTAAGGCAAGGGGATAAAAGACGGGGAGGCTGTGTCTGCTCACGCCAAGGGAATGCCTCTGGCCAGAGCCTTGTCCATCTGTTCTTCCGTGTGAATGCGAAGGCGTCGATCGCCAAAAAGACGTCTTCTCCAAAATGTGAAGGTGCCTCGCGTATGCCTTCCCTCTGCACTGCCTCGGAGGGGTGGGAGCCCTTTCTGCGCCTCACGCACTGCTGAGGCGCGAGGCACCGTGCATGCATAGTTAGAGTGAAGAAAGCTCCTGATATTGCTAGAGAAGCATCCAAGCTGCTGAGAACTTGCGAGGAATGCGCACGGTGGTAGTCGCGAGGTCGCGTGCTGCTGCTGCTGCTGCTGCAGTGTAGAAACAAAGCGAGGGAGCCATGCAGCGGCAAGTGAAGTCGTTGCTTGGACTGGAAGCAGCAACAAGAAAAAAGCCAGGAACCGCACCAACACCCCTCCCCCGATATCTAAGGGGCACATTGCTGCAGCAACTCTACAGGGGCTTCAGCCATCCGCTGCTACTGGTTTGCTGCTGCGCATGCCTGCGTTGGTGCTGCTGCTTCTACGTTGTTGTTGCTGCTGCTGCTTCTACGTTGTTGTTGCTGCTGCTGCTTCTACGTTGTTGTTGCTGCTGCTGCTTCTACGTTGTTGTTGCTGCTGCTCGTTCTACGTTGTTGTTGCTGCTGCTTCTACATTGTTGCTGCGGCTCCTTCTACGTTGTTGTTGCTGCTGCTTCTACGTTGTTGCTGCTGCTGCTTCTACGTTGCTGCGAGGACGCGCGCTGGAGGGAGGGCTGGGGAACGCTGGAGAATCGGGGAAGAGTTTCTCGTGCCAATAGACCAGCTGAATGCAATGTTCCCCTGCTGCTAAGGTCCCCGTGTGTACGTATGTATGTACATATGTGTGTGTGTTTGTGTGTATGTGTGTATGTGTATTGCATTACCAGGACGGAAGCAGCCTAAAATAGCCAACTCGCATCGCGCGGAGGAAGCAGGAAACACGACCTCCCGGTAGGAGTTGCTGTGCAGCAGCTGTCCAGACCCAGCATTCGCAGCAGTGCTGCAGATTTAGCAGAGGCAATACGTGTTTGTTGCAGCAGTGCCAGTACACCACCGTGCTCTTCGTACGGCCTCTGGAGATGCTTTCGCTTGGAAACTCCAAGGAACAGGATTTTGGCGTCTGTCTTAGCCTCGTGCTTTTTCAAGCTGAGTGTAAAGATGTGTTTCTTGAGGTCTGAAAAAGTAGGTTTCTGCAGGAGGGGCAATCGAGGCGGCAGCTGCCGCTCGCAGTGGAGACAGCAGGGGGCCCCCCGTCCTACTGCAGGTGAGGATGAGCGCCGGAAGCAGCAGTTGCTGCCGTTGAAGACACTGCTGGCGACGCTAGTATTGCTGTTATTACCGCTGTGATGCATTCCGAATCAGCAGAAAGGCCTCCCTTCTCTCCAAGCTGCAGCTCGCTCCCCCCTGCCAGGTGCTTCGTGTCGGCGGCAGCTGCGGCAGCAGCTGCGGTTACAGCAGCCTTTACCAGCGACACTTTGAAGGTAGCCTTCGAGGCTCGGGAGCCGCTGCAGTAACGAGTGCGCGTTCCTTGTTTCGAGCTTTAATCGCCCCCGTAAAATCGCTGTTTGCTGCCGGCACTAGCGGCAGCAGCAAAGCAGAGAGGCCCCTTAGCTGGCTGCTGCCGCGCGGGCTTCGGCAGCAACGCCAGCAGCAGACACTGAGTACGTCGTACGCTTCGGCGCAGAAACTCATTTATATCGGGCTGTTACTCCTTGGTCAAGCGCAGTTGAGGCCCCTTAATTAATACCTGAGAGCAGCATTCCGCGCTCGCCTGCAGCGCAGCCGCTGCAGCGGCAGCAGGGAGCTCCTGCACACGACAAGACGGAAGTGTCTGCAGGAAGGTCGCTCGCAGCCCGTTGAAATTCTTCCCGTCCCCCTCCCCCAGCCTCGCAGGATCTATTTTGCAGCGACTACTCGGCAGGCTGCTGCAGCATCGGGGCGCAAGAAGTCGTGTGTACAGTGGTGTGGCCTTCTAGCAGGAGGGAAGACGACACCCTGCTCTGCTGTGAACCTCGTCTTCGAGGTGCAGTCAGACTTCGCCTCGCGGCAGACGAATTCGAGAGCTGCTGCCATGCAGCGCACTCGGGAGCAACCCGAAGAAGGCGCTGCAGCAGCAGCGCAAGCGCAGGAGTCTATGCTGCAGCAGCCTCAGCAGCCTGCAGTGCTCGCCTTCCAGCCGTTTTCTTTCCTGATCGACGTCTCCTTCTGGCGACTGGTGTCGGAGCGAAAGCTGAAGGAGTGGAGGCTTGAGACTCCCTGGGTGCCCCTCATCGCCACCTACAGCTGTACAGCAGCCCGGCCGCTGCAGCAGCAGCAGCAGCAGCAGCAAGGCGGGGGGGGAGGGGGGACAGCAGCAGCAGCAGCAGCAGCAGCAGCAGCAGCAGCAGCAGCGCAAGGCCAAAATCCGTGCAGCGTGCGAATCGACGCCGATGCCCTCGACATAATGCAGCAGCTGCGGCGCAGAGAGCCTTTGCAGCAGCCAGTGCAAAGGCTGAACTTTTCGCACGCCTCCAGCCACCCCCCCGCGGAGCAACAAGCGCAGCGAGAGCAAGAAGAGGAGGCTAATGAGGAGCAGCTGCTGCGAGAGTGGTTCGAGAGCGGCGATAATTCCTCTTCGCCTTTGCCTTCTCCCGAGGCAGCAGAAGCGGAGGCAGCAGCGGCAGCAGCAGCAGGAGCCGCCGCGGGGGCCCCCCCGCCCCCAGCAGCAGCTGCTGCTGGAAGCTCTCGGAGATCTGCGCTTTTGTCTCTGCCTCCTTTTGCTGCTCGCTGCTTGAAGAATGGCACGCGGCCTCTTGTTGGCCTTCTTCGCGTCTACAACAGTCAGGAAGATCTCCTGGAGGCAGTAAAGAGTCGAGCCGCGGCTGGGCGCTGCCTCCAGAGGCTCGAAGCTTCCATCTGCTCCTGCAGCGCGTGTGCGCATCTGCCACAGCAGAACGTCATCATGCATCTTCCTCTCAGCGATCGCGACTTGTGGACTATGCGGCTAAGCGGCTACGAGGTCCAACAGCAGCAACAACCTCAACAACAACAACGGCAGACAGATCCTCGGCAGGATTTTTTCGAGAGCTCTGCAGAACCTTCTCCCGATCCTCCTCTGTCGGCTGGAACGCAAACAGCAGCAGTAGCGACTGCACCGGAGGCAGCAGGAGCAGGAGCAGGAGCGGGAGCAGGAGCGGGAGCAGCGGCAGCAGCGGAAGAGAGGCTAGAAAACGGGGAGACAAGGGCTGAAGCTAAGGCGCTCTGCGCATCGCGTGAGGTGTACAGACAGCTTCCTGCGAGTGCGTGGCCTTGCCGGTTCGTCTTGGAGGCTTTTTTAGATCTCAAGAGACAGCGAGCCGCCTACTCTGTATGTACCCCGGCGGTTCGTCCGGCAGCAGATATCCGAGCACCTCGTGCAGCAGTGAATGCAGCGGCTCCCGTCACGCTCAGACAGATCATTGCGGATTTGAACGAACTCCAAGGAGACGCTGTCTCGGAGCAGCACAAGGAGCTTCGCAAGACGCAGGAGGCGTTTAGCGCTGCGGATTTGTCTGTCATCTCCAGTAAGATCCGGTCTCTAGACAACAATGCCTCGCCCTTCCTCGCAGGGGGATGCTTCCTTGTACTCAAGAACTTCAGCAGCAGTAGCAGCAGCAGTAGCAGCAGTAGCAGTAGCAGTAGCAGTAGCAGTAGCAGTAGTAGCAGCAGCAGTAGTAGCAGCAGCAGTAGCAGCAGCAGTAGCAGCAGCAGCAGCAGCAGTAGCAGTGGGGAGTTGGGCTGTCCGTCCAGTCGTTGCAGTGCGCGGCTGCAGCTGCTGCCTTTAGAGGCTTTGGACAGTCTTCGTGACCTTTTGCCCTTCCAGGAGCAGCTGTTGTCGCAGCAGCAAGAGGAGCAGCAGGATGCGCCCCAGGTGTACTTGTGCGTGATGGATCCGTCTTCGAATACGAATGCTTTGGGGTGGCCTCTGCGTGGCTTGCTGCCTGCTTTGAGCGCGCGATTCGCGTTGGGAGGGCGCCAGCTGTCAATTCTTTCCTTCAGAGACTGGCTCTTAGATCTTCGTGTGGAGAGTGCTGCGGCAGCGGCTGCTGCAGCCGAAGCAGCTGCTGTTGCTGCTGCGCGCGAAGCATCGAAGTGCAACGCAGCAGAGGGCAGCAGCGAAGAGGCGGCTCTTGCAGCAGCAGCTGCAGCAGCAGCTGCAGCAGCCGCAGCAGCATGGGGGCAGGTGGTTGCACCGCTCTCTCGAGTGTTTGTCGCGCAACTGCCGACTGCAGCAGACCTCGCTGGAATTTTCACGCCTGCCGCCCCAGAGCATGCAGCGCCTGCAAGTGTGACCTTCCCCCTGCAAGCTCCTGCGGGAGAGCGACGGAGAGCTTCGATGGTTGTGGCGCGCTTGAAGCGAGTAGTCTCTTCAGGAACCTCCGAGAACCCCCCACGGATAGAGGCCTTGTTTCATGTGGACTTAGGGCGTTTTCTCGATCCTCGTGTGATGCAGCAGGAAGCTGACGATCTCAATATCCAGCTTATCAGGTGCTTGTCATTCTTCCCCTTGGCGGGATGGTGTGTGCGGAGGGCGAGAGGGGACTAGGCGTCAACGCGACGACGGAGGGAGGGTCGAGAGAGACAGAGAGAAGGAGAGAGAGGGTTGATGTCGCACTCCGCAGTCGGTTTCTTCGTGTCTGGGAGGGATGATGCAGAGGGGCGAAACACGCGCGAGCAGCAAGGCGGGCAGTCGTTTGTTTCCTTTTCCCTCTCTGTCTCTATACATATCTATGTACATAACGACACTCACTGTCGAGGGTTCTGTGGTGCCTTGTGTGGCTGTGCTGCAGATGGCGTGTGCTGCCCACCTTCGTGCCGGAGTCTTTGCAGTCTCTTCGCATTTTAGCAATCGGCGCAGGAACTCTTGGCTGCGGCGTTGCTCGACTCCTCGCCGCTTGGGGTGTCAGGTGAGGCTTGTGGTAGCCTTTTTTCCCCTCCCCCCTGCCTCATCTGCATGCGTTGCTCTTGACACCAGAGGGAGCAGCGGGGCCTTGCCTTCCCAAGCCGGCAAAAGAAGGAGCTCTTTTTCTCTCTTGGATGTGGAGTTGCGCTCGAAGGGGGCATATGCTGCATTGCGTCCATATATATTTACACACATATATTCGTAGTTCAGTCGCCTTCTGAGCTCCCTGTCAGGTGTTCTTTTTCGTGGACTCTACGTGTATAATGAGGGGCCGTGCTTTTTGTGTTTGCCCCTCCTTGGCACTGCCTTTCTCTCTCTTTCTCTCTCAAAATACCCTTGCCTCTCCTTTCGACGCCCTTTTCTTTGTTTGTAGGACTATAACATTCGTCGATGGAGGGCGCGTGGCTCTTAACAACCCCTCCAGACAGAACCTCTTCACGCACCAAGACGCCGCTGCGGATGTTCGTAATACCGCTCATAGAGACCTCCTCCCTCCCTCCCTTCCCCCTTCTCCCCCCTCAACAACAACGAAATGCAGTGCACTGCAACACAAGCAAGAGAAGACGCTTTGGTCACCGCATGCGCGGAAGTAGACTCGCTGTCTCTGGTGCCCCTTGGGAAAGACGCCTTGCATTACAGACACAGAGGAGGGGGATCGTTCCAACACGTGCTTGCCGTTTGCTTGCAGGGTGGCTTGGGTCGACTCAAGGCAGAAGCTGCCCGTGATGGTATCCTGGCTGTCAGGCCTAGCATGGAATGCAACGCAGTAGTGCTCGACGTTCCCATGCCAGGTATTCACGAATGCCTTCCCACTGCTATTATCCAGCTAGTTGCTGGGCAGATAGAGCAACAAAAAGAAGCCTTTTTGCACGCTCTGCGGCGCGCTTATTGGCTGCTTCTTTCTCTCTCTGTCTCCCGATGGCGGTATCTCCGCGGATTTTGGTGCACGATGCGCAGCTTCTACAGCGCACATGCTGTTTGTTGTTTAGCCTCTTCCGCACAGAACGCCTTCGAGCTGGCTGCCCGCCACTGTAATCGATTTCGGCAGTCCTCTCTTTCAACGTTCCCTTCGAAGAGGATGGGTAGAGGATGGGAAGGGGGGGAAGCGGAAGGCCACAACGAGCCTCGTGGCTAGCTGGCTAGCGTGCTCGAGGAGTACGCGTGTTCTTTTGCTTCTGCATTTGTGCGTGCCCCTCTGCGGTGTGTGTTGCATGGACAGGGCATCCCCGATTCTTGCTGGGTGGCTTGCTGAGTCGCGGTGTTGCCACAATGGAGCGCCTTGTGGATTCTCACGACGTCATCATGCTGCTTACGGACAGCAGAGAGTCTCGCTGGCTGCCCTCCTTGATAGTCGCGGAGAGGTGAGAGGAATCTCTCAACGAAGCAGAGGAGGAGGGAGGGAGGGAAGAAAACGGCACAGAGTCTTGCTGCGCAAGGCCTCCTTGCTCTCCAGCTAGCCAGTTAGCTGTCTATAAAGTGTGGACATATACATATATATGTATATGTACACTATCTGTCTGTAAGCTCAGTGTCTGGGGGGCTAAGCGTCGCAAATACATGGATGTATAATACCATAGGGGACAGGCAGGCGGATAAGGGGTACTCGGCAGGCAGCTTCGAGAGGGAGAGAGGCAGCAGCCGTGTGGAAATTTTCTGCGCTTCTTAGCCCCTTGACGTGGTTTTTATCAGCCATGATAACGCTAGACTTTCGTCCGAGACGCACTCAGTTGCAGCTTGCGTCAATCAGCAGAACAAACACATTGCTTTCGCTTTGCAGACTTCTGCTTACGTCTGCAAGTGCGTTTTTCTTGTGCAAACGCAGCTGCGTGGACCTGTGGCTGTTTTTGCTTCAGGCACGATAGCTACATGAGCAAGTCTCCCTCTGCTTCTGAAAGGGCTCCCCCTCTGGCTATCACGGTGGCTCTTGGCTTCGACTCGATGCTCGTCATGCGTCATGGCTTTGGAGGCAACAAGCTCGGCTGCTACTTCTGTCATGCAGTCAATGGGCCCGCAGACTCAATTTCCCGCAGGTGAGGCTGTGCTGCTGCCGAGGGTCTTGTGCTGATATGCATTGCTTGTGTGCCTCCATCAATCGGGGGAGAGGGGGGAGAGGGAAGAGACTTATTGAGTCGGGTTGCTTGCCTGCTCTGTGCGGTGTGTTGTTGTAGGGCACTTGATGAGCAGTGCACTGTTACTAGGCCAGGCATTGGGGCCTTAGCCTGTTCGGTGGCTGTAGAGTTGTTAGCAGCGCTGACACAACACCCCCTTCGCTTCGCTGCTCAGCACTCCGAGACAGATCCCCTCGCAGGAGGCAGCGCTGCTGCTGCTGCTGCTACTTCGCAACAGCAGAAACACCAACAGGGGTTCTCCTGTCTCGGTGCCACGCCGCATATGATAAGAGCAAACTTTGCAGGTGGGCTGGCTGCTGCCGCTAAAACGTTCTGCTGCCCTTCTCTGCTCTCCTCGCTCTCTTTTGTAGCTCCTTCGCCGACCAATACCTACCCTCTTGCTGCTCTCGCCTTTTCGTGAATGCACACTCATCCTACGGGCAGCCAGCCGTTCGCGCATGTCGCGCCAGTGCCTACCGATCTTCCCACCCGCCTTTGCTGCTGCTTCTTCAAGTCTTGGCGAGAGCTCAATGCTGAGCAACTGGGAGGGCCTTCTTAAGCGACCGTGAACAACAGCAGCGCAGCGAGGAGAAACACAAGAAAAAAATACTCCAAGCTTTATATATATATATATATATATATATATATATATATATATATATATATATTCGGGAAGGCCCCTTTTGCTAGGGATTCCTTGGGACTGTTATGCGCAGTACAGACACTTGAAGGTGTATGCCAGCGGAGTTTTGACTGTGTATGGTTGTTGCATGCCCGCTTTCTTTCATATGAGACCCAACAGAGGAGATTTATGTCACTTTTATAAGGTTTCCGAATGCGTGTCCTCATGCCTCTCTAAAGCAACGTTTCGCCTGTTTCCGCTGGCTGCTTGGTGATTTGCTAGGGCGTCTCGTTCTCTCTCTCTCTCTCTATGTCTATGTGTCTCTCTCTATGTGTCAACGTCTATGTCTCTCCTTATCTCTCTCTCTATATGTCTATGTCTCTCTATGTCTATGTATCTCTATGTCTCTCTCTCTACATGTCTATGTCTCTCTCTCTATATGTCTATGTCTCTCTATGTCTACGTCTGTGTCTATGTCTCTCTCTCTGTATGCTCGCTGCCATTTTCTGCGGCCCTCTCATTCTTTGCATTAATGTACCTCCGCCTGCGTCTGCTTCTGCCTTTGGCCCTCTGCAGACTTCAGTGTTTTGAAGGAACATCAGCCTCAGTGCTCAACCTGCTCCTGCTGCTCTCCAGGCATCATCGCGGCGTTCCGGACGAGAGGGTTGAGCTTCTTGCGGGAGGCGATAAGTCGAGCTTCCTGTTTGGAAGAGTATTCGGGGCTTGCGTGCTTCAAGAGAGGCATCCAGGCCAAGGAAGACGAAGTAATCAACCTTTCCGAGTTTGATTCGGACTGAAAGCAGTATACAGGCCAGAAGCACACTTTCGCATGCATGTAAAATATATATTATCTTGATGGGCAGCTGACTGCGGTAGCAGCAGCGCCGGAGTGTCCGTTTCTGCATAGAAACATGCTGCATGCAAAAGCGCCAAGCAGCACCAAGCAGTGGGGGATGAGGGCACCGCATTTTCTCTTGGTGACGATGCCAGCTAGCTGCTTCTCCTAGGGCCCCTGTAGTTTAATTGGGGGCCCTACGGGGGCCTTGCTACCGAACAGGTGGCCTCAAGAAGGGCATGTCTGCCGGAAGGTTCCCCATATGAAATTTCTCCCTTTACGGAGTAGACCTGTTTAAGCGCTCTTGAGGTGAGGGCCCCATTAGTGGGGCCCTGCGGGTAATGGCATCGGCTGGCTGCTGTCAGTGAGGGGCTGTTCTGGCCTCTGTGGGAAGCTACCTCGTGTGCAGCGGGCTCTGGAGGGGTGCCACAGGAGAGTGCGTTGGCAGCTCCTCGCAGTGGGGCTTGCGATGATGCATGGCTTGGGTGCACTGTGTGTGCACGGCACAGAGCCGCAGAAAATCGCGACACTAGGCGGCCATAGCGGAGGCCTGCGAAAAATACGCAACTGACCTCCCCAGTAAGGACTAAGGACTGACAAACGCGGTGCGCCAACGGCTGTCGAGACCTCTGAAGAGGGCCCCGCGGCAATCCAAAATACGTCTATCGCCTAGTCAGCGCTCAGAGGAGATCGCGCTAGAAAATGCGGATCGATGTTCTTATTTGGGGCCCTTCTCTGCAGGCTGTCATCCAGATGACACCCAGAGAATGATACGATGCATGCGATTTCACATGCGCTCAAAGTGTGAACCGAAAGGCCCCTAAGTTGCGGACATGAGAAACTTCCCCAGGGCGCCTACACTCGACTTGCATAGAGGTGGCACACACGACTGCGCAAAGCAGCGCAGAAAGCCCCCGCCGGGCTAGCTGAATGGCACAAAGAGACGAAAAAATCTGGGAGTCATAGGTCTGATGGAGGGGATGCACGCCACTGCGTCGAAGCTTGACCATTGCGCGGTTGTCCTTCTTCCCCACACAGCCAAAGGCGCCAGCCAGTTGAATGGGCCAGAATGCAGAGAAACGCTGCATAATAGAGCTTTCCTGCATAGCAGTAATGCCGTTCTGTTATAAGGCTGCAAGCTCTAGGTGTCCACCAAAGAAGGGACGAGGATCTTTCGCGCAGGCTCATATACCCATTTACGGCCCGCTTGAGTGCAGTGCAGCATACTGCCGAACGTCAGAACCAAGCCCTCCCTCTGAGACATGACAGCCGCACTGCCTACACACCGCACAGGAGGGCAACCCGTGGCCAGGGGTCGAGTCACGGAGAAGACCTCACTGGCTACTGGCAAGCAAAGCTACAAGCCGCTGGCTGCACAGGAGAAAACAAGGATGATCGAATACTTTGGACTTACGCCACTTTGACTCCTACCTACACTTGCTGCTCACAAAAGGCTTTACATCGCTATTATGTTGCCCTCTCGCTCTTTCCCTGTGTACGTCTCTGGCGTATTCCCTCTTCTTGATTGAGGTGCTTCCCTCTACACATTAGAGTGCCGCCAATTCTGTGCCGCTGTGTCTGCTCTCTGTTTTTAGTTTCTCCAACAGTATCACCACCTCGCTGCTAGCGCGGTTCACCCGGCCTCAGCCATCGTGCCTTTTTTGCGAATGCCTTCTCTATAGGCTCATCGCCGAGCACCACGCCTTCTGTTGCGTCGTTGGCTGTGGCTGCCTGCCTGCCTCGTTGTCTCTGCCTCTTCACCTTTTACCGCTCTGCAACTGGGCTCGCTACCCGAGTCCACAACCTTTTTGCAGCACCTGCTATGCACCTGTGAGCTAGCCTCCTAAATTAAATTTTTAAGAATCCCCTGGCACACAGGGCCTTTTCCGAGAAGCTGCTTTGGCGAGGCTTTTCAGGCATGAGGCTCCCTGAGCCGTCGTCCTCTGTAATAAGCTGTTGCAGGGGCCCTCAAGAGACCTCTCAAATTGCCGGAGGCACTGCCTCTACAGCCTAGATACTCGGGAGACCTCGAGAGCTTCCTCTACACATGCTCAGCTCAGAAAGCCCTACTCAGAGCCTCCTCCTTGACCAAAAAAATCCTAGACGGCTAGCAAATTACGCGTCATGTGAGCGAGTTTTTGCATAGTGCCATCCAAGTCTGGGGGGCTCCCCTCTCCCTCGGGCAGGGTGCCGCCATTCTCACCTGACAGTCCACGAGACGCCGCTATGCGTCGACGCTCCAATCGGCTCTGTTCCCTGCATCGCCGCAGACATGCGCGCAACAAACGACAAAAGCAGAGGTGCAAGATCGAGGGCCTGCAATGAGATGCCGAGTCTGAAGTGCTAGGCTGGCCTTCCAAAGCAACTGCCCCTCCACGCGCTGTCTAGCGGCACATCATTCCTCGCAACTCGGTGTGCATGACAGCTGAGCACCCTGCTTCCCCCCCTGTCTGCCCTTCCCAGCGCGTGTCTAATACACGCCACAGCGTCCAACCTCTGCAGCCGCTTTGCTCTCTTAAGTTCCGCGCGTTCCCGCTTTGTAACTTTCCCCTTCCTCGCCACGTGCTGCGCCTGCTGCTGTGGAGAGCCTGGCGGCAGCAGCGCTGCAGCTCCCTGAGCAGCAGCGCATCCTCCATCGCGACGACCCCCCCCTTCGCAAGAATCTGCGCGGAAACGAGACTCTGCAAGCCCCCCGTGAACCGCCACAACTGAGGGGGGGGCCCCTCCGTCTGGGACGGAGGCGACGCACAAGGAGGGGGCCCCCTCAGCAGCTGTTGCCGAGGCTGCTTCACCAGCTAGCCACACGCGTGCGCAAGGCAGCAAACGGATTCGCAAAGGCGGCAAAGAACGAGCTCTTCTGTTGCAAGAGGGGGGTGGTATCTTCACGCGAAAAGCCGCCGCGGGGGCCGTCCAAATGCTAGAAGACGGAGTCAAAGGGAGTTCCTTGGAGAATACTCGAATTCCTTTGGACGCTGCTGCTGCTCTTGTAGCCGGTGTTGCGAATACGGTCCGCTTCGTGCTGCTCGCTGTTGCAATGGACGCTCCTTTGCGGGGAGGCGAGAAGGCCAAGGCGGGGACTGCCGCGTCTGCGGAAGCCAAAGAGGGGCAGCCCATCAAATAGGAGCCAAGGGAGTCTGTAGCAGAAAACAAGCCACCCAAGGAGGCCCCTGCAAGTGCAGCAGCACAACCCTCCACACTGCGCCTCCTGAAATGTGCGCAATCGCTGCTGCTGCTGCTATCGCTGCTCCTCGAGCAGCGGCCGAGGCTGCCACCGCTCTCTCCGTTGCCGAGTTTCCCGCTATTCGCCACATCGAATTCCTCAACAGCCGCAGATCTGCCAGACACCCTTCCTTGTGGGGGGAGCAAGGCAACAAATACTTTCGGCTCGGGAGACTCCTGCCTCAAGAGAGGGCCTTCCTCCGTCGGGAGTAGTGTCTGCACGACGGCGGGGGTGTCGTCCGTACTGCTCTTGCTACTGTTGCGACTGCTGATGCTGTTGCTACCCCTGTTGCTACTCTCGATCTTCAAGGGTGTTGTTCTTGAGCGTTTCCACGCGGCTGCGAAGCAGCTTTGGCCTCTGAGGCACACGGAGGAGGAGTCTCCTGGATTCTGTCTTGGAGCTTTTTCGACGAGCGGTCGCTCTGGCTCTTTGCCAGTGGGGAGACAGTGTTGAGAAAGGGTGCTGCCCTCAAAGTCGAGGGTGTTGAATTGCGCTGTAAGCGCCCCTAGACGCTGAGCTGCGTGACAGCAGGCAGTGCAGGCTGGACACAGGGGTTGAGAAGCCTCTGCAAGCGTAGCTGCTCGGAGGAGGTGTTGGAGCAATGCGTCTTCGTGCAGCTCCCTGCTGCTGCCTCCGCAGATTTTGTCGCTATCGCTCTTCTTGTGCAGCTCCCTGCTGCTGCCTTCGCAGATTTTGTCGCTATCGCTCTTCTTGTGCAGCTCCCTGCTGCTGCCTTCGCAGATTTTGTCGCTATCGCTCTTCTTGTGCAGCTCCCTGCTGCTGCCTTCGCAGATTTTGTCGCTATCGCTCTTCTTGTGCAGCTCCCTGCTGCTGCAGCTGTCGGGGGGAAGCGTCGTCGAGGGTTGCAGTGGCGCAGGCTGCTGGAGGCGGCTCTGAAGCAGCGACTCCGAGGGGGCCTCACATGTTGGGCTGTCTGTACAGCAGCGTGCCTGGGGTTGTTTCGCCCGATAAGCCTCGAGTTGCTCGAGGGTGAGCGTGCTTGGAGCCTGTGGGGAGGTTCCCACGATTCTCACGGAACTGTAGTGCTCCGTATCCGGATGGAAGGCAACCTGTAGACATACGGCTTTAGCGTCAAAATTCTGCATGCGCCAGAGCTTCCACTGCGGCTCTGCCTCCACATCGGACGGCTCAGACTTGGCCCTTCCAGTGCACTTGCCTTTGCGCTGGTCGCTCTTGGAATGCGCGTCTGAAGCCTTCGTGGAGGCTGTCCTCCAGCTGGCATTCCTAGGCTCCTCAGCGGCGTCCTCTTCGTCTTCGGGAGGAGCAACGTAAATCAGCAGGTTCACTCCGAAGGCGAGGGAAATAGCCTGCAGCTCCAGCTGGCCCCCCCACGTGCGATCCGCTGCCATACGCCGGAGATACCGCGCGAAAGGCTCTTCGTCGCAGTCCGTGAAAGGCGCGAAGATATCGGCATGAGCCGCCATATACTCCACGGCTGCAGCCCTCACTTTCTTGTGCTGCGTCTGCTCTCCAAACAGCTGGTCAGATGCAGCTCTAAAGAGGCAGTTCCCATCTGCTACAACGTCGCGAAGTTCTAGCCCTACAGCCAGCAGGGAGGCCGCAAAGGCTCCCCCCGCCATCAGCCCCTTCTTGCCGTTCAAACCTGCATCGCCATTACGCTTAGAACGGCCAGAGGGGATCTTCGAGGACGGCAACGTCTCCTCCCCGCCGTTCCGCCCAGACGTACGATTGCGCTGCTTCTTTTTTCCCATTGTGAAGCGTGAGCGAAGGCCTCTAAGACACCTCCAAGGCTGGCTGTCAGAATCAGAGGCTGGCTGTCAGAATCAGAGGCTGGCTGTCAGAATCAGAGGCTGGCTGTCAGGATCAGAGGCTGGCTGTCAGAATCAGAGGCGCCCCTGCACAGCCGACAGCCACCGAGCCGAAAGCCTCTGCTGCTCGAGGGGGAAAGCAGCCCTTTGAGGCTCTTCACGCATTGAGAAGCGCATTAGGCTCGCGTTACCCAGCAGCAGAGGGTAGTCCGCAAGCATGCCTCGCCTCCCCAGCAGGGCCCCCCTACACCCGCTAAACAGGGAAGCACAAGGCTTCAAATGCTCTAGGGGGACCACCAGTAAGAATAAAATTTAGTGGCTTCTCTCCAATCCCCCTGCCGCAGCCGCTGCTTCCGGCAAAGTGCTACACCCGAGTCGCACGGGGAGGGGGGCGATGGCGGGTATGACTGAGGGAGGAGGCCCCCATATGGCTGAGCTTCGCAAGGCAAGTTTCTTCCTGTAGGGCCCCTTTATCGGCAACTGCATCAATTTTGCTTTTGTGCGACAGCCTTAGGGGCCCCCTCCAGTGGACACGGAGCCACGCAGCGGCGGAGCAGGGGAGGGGGCCCTCACCGCGTATGCCTGTACAGCTGAGCCAGAGCCCTCGTCTAGCCCAGCCGTGCATCAGATGAAAGCCTTTAAGTAGCCCTGCTGCATGCAGCGCTGCCATTCTTGGGAGCGGTACGGCGAGTTTTAGCCAAACAGCTGGGGGGAAACTGGGGGGAAGCGACACCCGGACCGCACCCACGGGTTCTAGTACCTAGCTGGACCTGCAGGAGATAGCCAACGACTGCGCTTTTTCTGGTTGGCGAAAGCAGCGTTAAAAGTGCGCTGCCAGGGGCCTCGCAAAGACTCCGTGTGCGGGGCAGACTTCCTCGACGCCTCTTGAAGCCTCTTTTCGCAGCGCCGGAGGCAGCGCTCGCCCATGAGGTCCCCGCAGCCTGCCTCCGGGGGAGGGAGCCTGGGAGCCTCTTTGGCTGGAATAGCGGCAGCGGCTACTGGGCAGCAGACGCGTGGCAATGAGGCAACTTCCCCGAGGGGCCCTTCCTCGGGCAGGGGCCCCCGATCAGCGGGGGCCCCCTGTGTCGTCCAACCCTCCCCAGGGTCGCCCCGCGTGCTCCTCTCTGCATCGCCCTCGCCGCATGCCTCCCCCCCAACTCTCCCTTCAGCGTCCAACATGCGGGAGTCTCCCGGGGGGGCAGCAGCAGCCGGGTTCCCCGCGGTGGCTCCCTGCGCCTCTCTGCCGCCTTCTCAGGCCTCTTCCCGAGTGCCTCCCCCCTTGACAGCTCCTCCTGGAAGTCTAGGAGTGCCCCCCCGAGACGTCTCAAAGGCCTCTTCAGGAGCAGCAGGCGTGCCTCAGGAAGGCTCTCTCTCGGCTTACAAGGTGCCGCTGTATAAGGACGGATCTTTGGGCGAGGGCCTCTGGGTAGTGGCGGGGGCCCTCCCAGGGGCCGTCGCTGCAAGGGGCCCCTTGCTCAAATCCGTCAGGAAGCTGATTGAGACATCGCGGAAGGCCAGAAGCGGACCGCGGGGGGGCCCCCAAGCGCTGGCATCGGCAAAGGCGGATGCTCTGATTAGACGGCTCAACGCACTCGCAGCACAAGAGGGGTGAGAAACGTGTGCTCCGCTGGTTGCTAGCTTGGCGCAGAGCTCTCGGCGAGTGTGTGTGGCGTGGCTTTTTCGGAGATGGGAGGCTTTTTGCTGCTGCAGGGAAGGGGCCCTGACGAAGGCCCCTCCAGCGTGTGTGGCTCAGGGTTTACATCGACGGCTTTCTTTGTGCTCCTGCAGGGAGGTCACCAAGCGGCAGAGGGTGCCTCGCAAGGCTCCAGCCGCGACACCAATCCCCTCACAAAACGCAGCAGGACCCCCCGAGGGAGCTTCGGGGGGAGGGAGTGGTTCCTCTGCTTCCTCGGCAGCCAAGAAGCCGAAGGAAGAAGAAGGCGGGAAGGACGGGGAGAGCTGCATTGACGTGGGCGCTCTTGATCTTTCCCTGGGGTCCACTAGCGCGGTGGAGGGCCCCCTGCTGGTATCTATTCCTCAAGTGACTCCACGGCAGCGCCAGCAAATGCGAGCAGAATCCAACCCGCAATTCAGCGTGCAGATGCGTGGAGCCCTTACTACCGTGAGCCGAAGAGTCCGCTAGCTCAGGAGCGCGTCTTCTCAGCGCATCTCGAGTTGCACGGGGAGCTACTTCTCGCTGAACACGCTGCAATTCGCCTGCCGAAACCATCGATGCAGCTTCTAGCGACGCAGTTCGCTTGCCCCCCGCAGCTCAGCCTCTTCCGCAGCCGGCCCTCAACATGCTTGATGAGTGCTGCTGGAAGGGAGCTCTAGCTGACTTGCTGATTGGCAAATTACTCTGCCTCGGCAGTACCTGTGCAGAGGCTGGCTGCGAGCTAACGGGGAAGGGAGTTCGGTTTCTTGGGGGTGTTTGTTAGCTTTGGGGGGCTGCCTTTATAAAGAAAAGGGGTTTTTAGTGGCCTTCGCGTGTGTGCGTGTGTGCCTCCGTGCTGCCTCGGCTGTTGCCTTCGCTGCGCAGCAACTCTGTGAATGCGCAGCTTCCCTGTTTGACTCTGCCGAGGCTCTCGTCGCTTCCCAGCAAAACCCTCGGTACACGAAGGCATCCACTTCCCAGGCGTGCGGTAAGAAGACGTTCTCCTTTCTCCCCTCCTTTAGGCTGCCAGGCCCTCCTGAGCAGCGCGCAGCCCGCGTAGAGAAGAGGCCTTCGAAGGCGCCAGCACGGCACTGAAGAGGGCGCGAGCTTCCCAAGGCTGCACGCTTGGGAGAGGGCGAGAGAGACGCGGAGGGTGCCTTGTTTCTGCTTCTGCAGGCAGCGAGGCCGTCCGCCTCCTTAGTCATTCGCTTATGATGATGAGGCCCCCTGCGTATCTCCTAGAGCCCCCAGAGGGGTATCAAGGCGATCGCCAGCGCGCAAGCGCCCATGCAGTCCTTCCCGGGGGAGCTACTAGCGCGCCTCTTGCCGCGCTGCTGCAGGAGGAACCCTACAGGACGAGGCTGCGAGGCGACTCCTTCCTGCGTTGCAGCTCGCCTGGTCAGCAGCAAGAGAACGCCAAGAGCCCTTGCAACGCTGCTGCCAGCTCGGGCTCCTCGGCGCAAGCAGAGTTGCCTTCGAAGGATGGGAGGGCCTCGTTGGCGGGGGGAGGGGGGCCCTCCTCCTCGGCGACTTCCTCCGAGAGAACGGAGGCCCCTAAGACGGGATATGAGGCCCTTGCTGCGTGGTGCTCCTCGTCAGAAGAAGAAATGTGCGGCGGCTTCCCCTTCGGAGAAGCCGACAGCTACGCCGAATTGTACAGCCTCCGCGGATCCTTCTCTTGGGGCCTCCCAACCGTTAGAGACCCCCTGGCGCTGGGGGCCCCCCTGGCGCTGGGGGCCCCCCTGGCCCCCTGCGAGGAGGCTACTGGCAATCGTTCTTCGGGAGTCGAGCGCCATGTAGATCTTCTCTTCTCCGTGCCTGCGGAATTGTCTGAGGCTGACGCAGGAAGGTGGCTGCGAAGGCAGCTCGCCGCGAGGAGGCGCAGAGCGAGGAAACAACTCGCACTGAGGGCGCTCGCGCTAGAGAGAGCTGCCGAGGCTGCGACGGGGCCCTCTGCCGCAGCTGCCATGCAGCAGCTGAGAAGCCATGAAGTTCTCGAATTGCAAAGGATAAGAGCACAGCTGATGCCACGCAACATGCAGGCAGACCATGCAAAACAGACCGATGGTAAGGCAGAGCAGCCACAAGAACAGCAGCAACAACAGCCACAGCCACAGCTACAGCAGCAAAAGCAACAGCCACAGCCACAGCTACAGCAGCAAAAGCAACAGCTACAGCTACAGCTACAGCAGCACCAACAACAGCTACAGCAGCAAAAGCAACAGCCACAGCCACAGCAGCAGCAGCTACAGCTTGGCGAAAATGCGAAAGACCATCAACACCATGAGCCCCACTTAGGACGACTGAAGCAGCACCAGATATTCCAGCAGCAGAACCCCTGCCAGCAGCCTTCATGGCAGCAGCAGCACCACCACTCACAGCAGCTGCAACATCAGCCGCATTCACAGCTGCAGCAGCGGAACTTGCAACAGCAAGTTCAAGCGCAGCAACAACAGCCACAACGACTAGAGCAACAGCCGCTGCATCTGCAGCAGCCACAACACGTACTGGAGCAGGTACAGAGGGAGCTACAACAGTCACCTCAGCATGTGCAGCCGCAGCAGCAACAGCAACATTTTCATGAGCAAAGCCAGTTGCAGACTCCACGGCATTTGACGCAGCCTCAGCAGCCTCAGCAGCCTCAGCAGCACCCGCCTCGGCATCAAGCACAAGAGCAACTCCTCCAACTTCACCGACAGCTGTTTCAGCAGCACCAGCAGCAAGAGCAGCAAGAGCAGCTGCAGCACCCGCACCAGGGGCTCACCCGAGCTGGTGTATTGGGGGGGACAGGTTTGGGAATATAGGGCCGTATGGCTTGAACACTGCTAGGCATGAACCAGGGGGACGCTCTGCTTGCGGCTGCATGCCACTCTCCCTCGTGCTATTTAACAGAAGGCAGCGAGAGGCCTTGGGGTCTTATGGATCAGGATGTTCCCTTGTAACTATCCTTGCTGAATTGAGGGTTGCCGCGGAAGCACAAGCTGCAAGAGTAGCATGAGAAAAGCTTGTAAAATAGGTGGCGGGCATGCAGGTGCTACTGTAGCAGTGCTTCGTGGCAGCGGATTCACAGAGAGGCTGGCATGTTTTGTGCTTTGTTGCTGGGTAGGTATCTACTGTATCAGGTGGCTACGTAAGTACCTAGGGTAGCAGAGCAGCTATTCAGCGTTTTTGGCGAGCTGCCGTTCTTCGCACACTTCAAGATGGCTGTGCCATTTGGTGATTGCTGTTCCCAGAGCCTTGCAACGCTCCGCCTGTAGTGCCTGGTGTAACTTTACTGACTCTAAGTAGACAGCTCGGAACTCCCCTGTATTCCGCTTTGCGGCGCAACTTTTTGATGCTAGGTCGGTTGAATGAACCGCTTCTGTCGAGTTCTTGTTTCTCCTGGAGGCCTAATAGCCTTGTGTATTTCAAAGGCTGCTCTTTCCTCAATTGGGCTACAGCTTGTTGAGAGGGGGAAACAGGCTTGTCGGTGGTGTTTCTAGCCTCGCCTATGCGGCGTAAAAGCCGGTTGAAAGCCCTAATTTTGCATCAGTGTGGGGTTGCCAAGGTCCAAATGAAGTACGGGAGATCATGGCACAGCCAGTTTGAAAGGATGGCAGACTTCCCCGCCCCTCCGAGATCTGTGTGGCTGTCGTTTCCCCCGCGCATCGCCCTATGTTCACATAAAAAGCATGTGCGAAGAAAATAAGAGTCCGACGCTCCCGATGTGCGGATTTAACTACTGAACGCGTCTTGGAGGAAGTGGGAGGCACCGAAAGTCGACCGAAGTAGGTGTAGGACTGCGGCAAGGAGCTCGCCACTAAGGATTTAGGAGTGTTGCTTTGCCCTCCTTACGTGCCCAAACTCTATGGAGTTCTAAAGGTGCACTAGGAGCGAAGGGAAGCAGTCTCGTTTTTTCCGGGGAGAGAGCCCGAGATGCGCTACAGGACGGACCTATGAGGCTTCATTGTGTCAGAACGGACTGTTGGCAGTGGAAGCGGGTGCAGAACACAAACACGGAAGACATTTGCGGCGGCGACAGTGCGTGGAGGCTCTTCTTTCTGGAAGCAGGCTGAAGCCTGCGACTTCCAGCCCTGCTGTAGTAAAGGCCGAGCAGCAGAGTTGAAAACACCCGCACGTCTAGATGAGCGCACGCATTGCCGCGAAGGTTCTCTCCATCTCTGCGTAAACGTGCGAATTGAGGTAGCTTTTTGCTGTCTATTCATCTGTAATGCCAGCTAATCGCTGGAGAATCGATGGCGTCCCCTGCCACCAGCTTTGTGTATGCGTGCGCTCATGGCCAAAGCTCTTGCATTCCCCAGAAAAGCTGAAATGCGAGAACCTCGTCTCCCGTTTGGCGAGCTCGCTATAAATGGACTACATCAGATATGGCAATGAAAAGTCTCTTTATCCACAGCAAGAACGGTTTCAGTCGAGTGCAGCCAAGGTCAAGAGGGCAGGCTGACTTGCACTGTGCAACACTTGGGTAATTCCACCTGACATGCCTCTCTAGCTGCCCATCTCGGCTGTACAGAGTGAACCAGGGATCTGAGGCTCTTCAAATGTTTCGTTGTGGCATTTCGTTTGGTGTATAGTGGAGCGCGGCATGCTGTTGTATTGCCTCTTGAAACTCAGCTCTTGCACTTCTGAGTGGATCGAAGTATAGTTCTGCATCGCTAGATCATAGTTGAGGGCCACGCAGCAGCCCCTGAAAAACAAGTCGTTCGCCACATAAAAACAGGTAATAATTGCCGTTTCCCATGGAAGGAGAAGCGCTACGAGACTTGCTCTTGGCTTTGTCCGCCATGCCAGTCGCCTCTCCGGGTGCCGTAGACGCCGTGAGTATCTTTTGTGGCATAACTTAGATTGAGAGGAAGTCATGCAATCTTATAAGTACTGTGGCGGGGAATTTCCACCTCGGTGCGTCCGCCGCTCGGAAGATGTGGAGAGATTGACTGGAACAGACAAGGAAGAGCTTTTTGAACACCCCTTCCTAACTCGTGGCTCGCCCCCATAAATACTCCTGAGTTAGTCGCTTGTGCCTGGAAGGGTGATTTCTTGACAAGCAGGTTTGGCCTCAAGCCGACAGTAGAGAGAGAGCGGTCCAGGCATCGATTCTCAAAAACGACGGAAAGCTCGGTAAGTCAATTTAATCCCCTTAAGCCAAACGACCCTGATCTCCTCAGGCTCAGAAGTGCCCGTCAGAGTCCACGGTATGGAGTTTTGTGCTTTGATGTAGATCTCCCCCCCGCAGCACGTATTAGCGTGAGAATCCCAGTTAGTCCAGCCGGTGCCGTCCTGCTAGCCCTTCTCTTACTTTGCGGCCTCGCTCAGCAGCCGTTTGCAAAATAGGCACCTCACCAGCTGTACTCACCGTGTAGCTTCAGACAGCCGCTACGCGTGAGGGGCTGCTGGCAGGAGGTCAGCCTCTGGGCATGCGTCGTGAGACTGACGTGTCCACACCAGAACCATCAGACGGTACAAAGGCTCCCCAGCAAGTCGTTCTCTCTCTCCCTGTGCTGCTTTCACTACAGAGCGCGCTGCCTTTGTCGACCAGTTTGAAAAAAGAAGGAATGCCGCTTGCCGTATTCTTTCTGCGGGTGCGGGGCCTCTTTGTTCTGTTTGATGCCGGTGATTCGTGGAGATAAAATGGTTCCTTGATCGCCTGCCTAGGATACTAAGCCCTCATTTAGAGTTTGTATGCTGCGCTTGGCAGTGCTCTCACGGCAGCCTGAAGCTGTCTTAGGTCCTTTTATGCTTAGGGTGCTGGTATCAAGGGAACGCATGGGCCCGTGAGGCTATGGGGATGGAGGCAGGTATTTAGACTGCATTTACGGAGGCGGTTCCGCAGAGCTGTGAGCCATCATTGCACTTGCCTCCAAGCTGCTGCTATGGCCTCCAGAAAATTATTTAAGAATTAAAGTGTTCGAGAGACGAGGCCTAGTGTCTTCTAGGTAGTTTCGTTCCCTTGCTTTCGAATAGCCATGCTAGGCCTCCCGCTAAACCCAGCAGCACAAGAAGCCGGAAAGGCAGCAGAGGTTTCTGTGTGCTACTCGACGAAAAGAGTGGGAAGCCTTTGTCTGCATGCACTTCGGTGCCCTCACTAATGGCACTGCAGGAGCTTCCGCAGGCGCAAGCACACTGAAGGCAGGACTCGCAGATGCTACCTTAGACGAGGGCAGCCGCATGCTACTGCCAGGAGCTCTGGCGAATCTATTGGCGATCAAGCGCAAATGCACACGCACACAACACCGAAAACAACAGCAACAGCAACAGTGCATACTCGCACATATTGTCGCACTGCTGCTGCATATAGCTGGTTGCAGGCGTTCTAGGAAACTGCTACTCGCCTGTCTTACCGTGAGTTGCTTCTGGATGTGTGGGTTACAAGTCACTACAACGGAAGGAGGAGTTCTCCGCGCAGGGGCTATAGTCTCCGAGCAGCAGCGGGCGTCATTTTCATGCCCTTCCTTGACACCTCCACATTGTGGTCCTCATGTTGTCTCTCTATTAGCTGCTGCCATCCGTCAGGTAAACGGATGTACCGGATCACCCGCGAGACGGAGCCAGGGCCAAGTTGACATCCATGAGGGCGTGAAGTGGCTAGCTGGTTCTTACTGTTAGCTTTCGCTACTTCATGAGTAATGGATATGTTTTTTGGTATTCAGGGACTGATGTGTGGTTAGTCCCGTGCCTGCTGGTTTACAGACGCATAGCTACCGGCGTTGGACTCATTGCCTGTCTGAGAACAAATTATGCATCTGCATTCAAAAGTGCAGGAGGTCCTTAGGTCTCCTGAGTGCGGAGAGACGACAGCTAATGTCGCAAGCCGTCCCCAACGTGGCTTAGGCAGTGTAGACATGATAGATGGCCTGAGGGAAGCACAGGCCGCAGCAAGAAGCTCGTTGCACATTTGCCACCGCTCCCTTTGCAGTAGGCGAAGGACCCCAGTGGGCGCTGCAGTACCAACATCTACCAGGGCTGGTGTGACAGCAGCCGCCGCAACAAGAACTATAGAGCATGTGGCGCTCGAGCAGAACGGAAATGAGGGCAGCCTTCCTTCTAGGGTATATTTGCAGCGGTAGCCTTTAGCTGGAGGGCCAAATGTTCCCTGCCTTTTCGCACTATAACCACCAGCGGCGATTGCAAAGTTGTCTGCACGTCCCTGAGTCTTCGCAACTGAGCCTTTTGAACACTATCTCTCCCCTTTGGGAAGAGTTAGTTTTGAGGGGCACCTCATAGCCAGTGACTCTTACTTCGTTTGTGGGGGCCACCTTGGGTGTACACAAAACAAAACAAGCAAAAATAAGTGACCTCTACACTGCATAATGCCGCACCCCATTAAGAGTGCCCCACTGCACACATAATGCGCATGAGACCTCCACAGATCCTGCCTGCATGCAGAGGCGCTACCAGAGCAATTGCGTCTTTCGGGCTTTTGCAGAGGGGCAGCAAAATCGAGCGTCATAGATGTATCTCCCCTCTCTCTGCAGTCAGAGCTGTAGCTGTCTGCACTACAAAACAGCCGACGGCCCCTTGGCTGGTGTGCTAGGCTACGCGGGTCCTAAGTGCGCAAGAAGGAGGAAACACTGCTACGGGGTTTCCAAAGTGTTTGCATTCCCTCGAGTAAGCGAATAGGCGGGCGGAGTGAGGTTGGAAGGGGTCACTGAGACTGCAAACTACTGGCCCTCAAGCTAATGCGGAGACAGTCTGCAACACTAGCCCGCAGGGGAATTCCCAAGCCTCATCAGTCCGCGTTTGCTTCGCAGCGAAGTGCTGCTGCTGCAGCTGCAAGCGTGGCTGCGACGTAAAGCAGTTTCGCCAGGCGCTGTCTAGCCCATAGGCCCATAAGGACGGCGAGTCGGGGGAGAAGGGGTTGCAAATGCGCAGGAGAAGGTACCGGCAGAATATGAACAGAGGCCCTCCCTGAAGCCTCTATTCATGTATGCGTCTATTGTATACAGCTGCACTTGACCAAATAGTTCTCCAGTTGGAGCCACGCACTCGCCACTCCCGGAGGCCCTTTTAAGTGTCGTAAAAGCGCGTCGCTGTCTTCGCGCTAGCGGAAGACACCGCACAGGGGCTTCCAACAAGCGGCTCCTCTACTCGCCAATCCCCATTCGACTGGAGTGTGTATGCTGGAATGCCGCCTGTTGACTGCATCAGCAGAGGGGCAGGCGCATCGTATTTGGTGGCCGCTGCCCTCCCCGAGCGAGTGCGGTAAACACCCTGATTTTTGACAACACCCTTCCCTGTGGAAGGGTGTTGCGGTGTACTGTCGGCTGCAGTTTTGAAGGCGGAGGGGCCTGCAGTGGCCGTCGAGCGGCACAAAAGCCAGAAGGTTAGCGCCCCCAAACAGGCAACCACGATAAAGGCAGCTAAGGGGGGTGCAGCCGTCTCTTTTGCTTCGGGAGGCGCCTCCGCGTCTCCCCGTTCCGCGAAACTCACGGGACGTGTTGCTGCTGCTGCAGCCTCGAGGCGGAGGAGGAGCCTGGAACGGCCTAAACTGCGATCCTGGATGAACACCTCCGTGCGGGGGGGAGGCGTCCACTCCATGAGGACAGTCTCGTCGCTGAAGGCTGCCTGAGCTGCGCCAATGCTCGTCTCAAGGCTGGGACTGATACGCACAGTCAGCAGAGGCCCCTGGCGACTAAGGGAGACAGCGAAAGCCTCGTTCGAGGCACTGACTTCCGGCAATTCGCTGTCCAGCACGGGGAACACGTGAAACTCTAGAGGCCAATTGTTGCTGCTGCTGCTGCTGTGGCTGCTATTGCTGCTGCTCCTACTGTTGCTGCTAGAGGGGAGCGCGATCAAGCGGCGGCTGTCACGGCTGCTGGCGCTGGCTGCGAAGCGGAGCTGCTGAGGCGCAGAAAGGATGGGAATCACTGCGAGAGGCTCCACGTGAGAAGCGGGGGGGGGCACGGCCAAGTGTGCCGCAGTCGTCTCATCTTCCAGCAGGCGCAGCGGCACGGCCATACCCCAGCGCATGCAGTGGGTGAAGAAAACTTCCCGTTTCCGTTGATGGCGGTCCTGCAGCGGTTCCTCTTGGCGAAGTGACAAGGCAGAAGAAGGGCGACTCAGAGACACGACAAGTGCTAGAGATGCTCGTCGGGAGCTGCCCGTTTGAGGAGCCACTGGGTGCTGTCCTCTCGCCGTGTCTTGTAGACCTTCCTTGCACTGCTGCGTAGCCTGTAGGGCTGTCTCAGCCTCTCTGGCGAGGTTCTCCTCGAAGCCCTCTCTTTCCCCGAAACTCCGATCCCATCGCAAAAGAGGCAGAACCTCTTGCAACGACACGCGCTCGCGAGGACGAACGGCGCATATCGGTGTAACGGAGGGAAGAAGGGAGGCGTCTGGAGCTGAAAATCTCGACGGGAAAGAGAGGGGCTCCACGGAGAATAAGACAGAAAGAGCGGGGTCTGACAGTCTGCAGTGAACTGACACGTGCGAATTAAACGTAGCAGACACGAATGTCATTTCTTGCCATTCCTGCTGCTGCTGCTCCACCTGATGACCTCCTGCAGACTCTTGCTGCAGGCCTGCAACAAGCGTCTGAGCTCTGAAGGAGATTGTCAGGGAGCTCGCAGCGCTTCCCTCGACGCATGCAGGCAGAGACAAGTCCTCAACAGCCACCCAGTGCTGCGGCATGCGCAGCGGCGGGGCAGTCTCAGCGCCGCAGGAGGCTGCAGCGAGCAGTCTGAAGCGGGAGGGGGACGCTGCTGCAGTTGCTGCTGCAGTTGCTGCTGCAGTTGCTGCTGCAGTTGCTGCTGCAGGTGTTTCCAAGATCTCTACAGCTGCAACTGAGACACCCCGCTGCAGCAGGTGTACCTCCGCTGCAGGCTTCGCAGCAAATGCAACAACAGGACCGCTCTGTCCCCCACTGCAGCTCCCCATCCCCACGACTGTTAGCGCCGAAGGGTCGGAGGATCGAAGAGCCCCCCATCCACTGCAACTCTTGCTGCTGCTGCTGCCGATCGCAAGATTCCCGAAACCGTAGCTCCACGAAAGAAACGCCGCAAGCGGAAAGCCCCAAGAGGGACAGATGTTGTGCCTGCCCTCCTTGGAGGCAGAAGGATTTGTTCGGAGGAGACACGTGGCCGTTGAGTGGCTTTCTTCCCACTTCTTCGCGAAGCTCCTCCACAGCTCTTGCAACAGCAGCAACACCCCATCTAGGCGCCACTCGCAAGGCAACGCGTCCAGCGTCGCCGCCACTTGCCGGGGTGCCGCTGTGGCTAGCTTCTTTCTCTCCTCTTCCCGAACTATAGCGGCAGCTGCAGTCGAGGGCAAGTTCAGAATCCTCAAGTCCGCTACCAGTAGCATCTCATTCTGAGCCCACACCGACGTAGAGGCGCCACAGAGTGCAGCAGGCCCCTCCCGCTTTCTCGAGGGGATCGTCGCTCCCACTGAAGGATTCGGCTGCAACCTGAGGCTGCGAACGTCCACACTCAAAGGGAGGAGAGAGTTCTCATCCTGGGGAGACCCCTCATCTGGCAGCAATGCCTCCGAAATGAAGCGGCGTGTTGCAACTCTGAGGGGGGTGTACAAGCGCCTCAGCAAGGCTGCAGCAGTATCCTGCGACATACATGCAGAGGGAAGGCCTCTTGTTGAGGCTGATGCTGCTGCTCCTGCTCCCGTCGCTGCTGATGCTGATGCTGCCACCCCCCCAACGGCGTCTGCGCTCGAGGCGCCTCGCCAGGCACTGAGTGCTTCTAAAAGGGGAGCGGCCTGAAAGGCGAGCTGGAAGCTCAGGAAGGCGCGTTGCGGCAGGAAGCTTGGAGGCACTCTCCCGCTCTCAACAAGCGGCAAGACGGCTCCCGGTAGAACTGCAGACGGGGGAGGCAGCAAGAGTCCGTCTGGAGTCTCCCCGCAGACGCGGAGGGTGTAGAAAGGCTCCTGATTGTCTGTGGCTGCATGGCTGTTCAACAGAGACACCCAAAGGGAGGCACAGCCACGCTGCAGACACCGCACGCGGACTGCTGGAGGGCCTAGTGGCCCCTCTGCTCCCGTGACTACAGCCGCCGACACGATGGAAGGGTGGGAGGAGAGAACTTCCAGCCTGAGAACACGACCCTCGCAGCGCTCCCGAGTGGCTAGCCAGCGAGTCTCACAAGAATTACGCAGGCTGAACTACTACGCTCTGTCTGCGTGTGTGTGTGAAGCCTCAAGAGAGAGAAATACGTGCCAAGAACGGGGTGCCCAACGCAGACACCCTCGCACGTACAAGCACGGCCAGAACAAAATCCTCATCCGATACAGGAAAAGACGCTTCGCCGTCGCAAAAGGAGACATACTTTCTACAGAGAGAAAGAGAGAGACAGAGAGAAAAAGAGAGAAAGAAAGAAGAGAGAGAGAAAGAAAGAAGAGAGAGACAGAGAGAAAAAGAGAGAGAGAAAGAAAGAAGAGAGAGACAGAGAGAAAAAGAGAGAGAGAAAGAAAGAAGAGAGAGACAGAGAGAAAAAGAGAGAGA